GGGGGGGGGGGGGCTGGACAGTGGGACGGTGAGGTGGGGGGGCTGGCCAGTGTGGGGGGGGCAGACGATGGGGGACGGTGGGGGGGGCAGACAGACATTGGGGGATCCGGGCAGTGGGGGGCTGGACAGTGGGAGGGTAAGGTGGGGGGCTGGACGGGGTGGGGGGGTGAGGGTGGGATGGACAGTGGGGCTGGGGGCTAGAATAGTGGCTGGACTGTGGGGAGGGGGGGGGAAATAGGTGAGGCTGGACTTCGGGGGTGGTGGGGTGTGCTGGAATAGTGGCTGGACTGTGGTGAGTAGGTGGTCTGTCATTGGGCCTTGCAGTGCTGCGGACTCACCAACGTGGCCCCAAATAAATTCCACTTAACCCCCTGTCTTCTTGGAACCTGTTCAATTTTGCTTACGTTTTGTAAATTTCTACACCGTTTCAAAACTAGATGACACATGATGGATACATCAGCCCCTTGGGATGTCCTCCCGACGTGAAGGGCGCTCCATAAATGCAATCTTGTTGTTGTTGTTGATACTCAACTGATTCATTGGACTTGTTTTTTTTTAAAAAGGGTCAGTAAAGGTAACGGAAATTGGAGAGGCGTTTAAGCGTGACGTCTGTTTTGGCTGGAAATAAATAGGTCTTATACTATATTTTTTTAAAAAACAAGTGATGCTTGGCCCACCAACCCTTCCTGTTTTAGCTTCTCTGACAAGCGTTGGATTCTTGTGTTAGTTTGTAGATAAAGCTGTTGTTAGAGATAAAGAGAGATTGCGTGAGGGAGGGATGGTTTACTAAAAAAGATGTCAGGTTAATATTCTTCGAGCCCGCAAATGATTCACACTGAACTTTCCATGACCAGAGCTATAAAATGTAAAATAATACTTACATTACACATTCAGTTGAATATGGTTGGGCAGCTGGAGGGATGAATTACTAAAGTTCTGAAGTATTCAGCATCAAAGTATATGTGAATTGGGTGAGTTCCTGGAGAATTTCATATTGGAAAGGGAAAAAAGTTGTGTTGTTTACCTGAGGATTGTAAACAGACATATTCCAGCATGGTGTGGAGACCCACTGAGGCTGATTGAAGGGCTGGGATTGTATTGGTAAGCAGATGAGAAATAAAGGAGAAGGTTATGGGTACTAACACTTTGGTGTTCCAGTGGGGTGAAGCAATGGAAGTATAACTGGTTGAATTAGCTCAGTGTTATTTGAGGCAGAATTTATGTGGTACAAAAGGTCATTACATCACTTCTAATTCCTGAAGGTTCAGTTTATATTGTACAAGGTTACATTATGGACCCTTCCACCTCATATTTCATGTTGCATTACATATACTGCAGTGTATGCTCCAGCCAACCCTTTATGACCTATGTTCTTTATTACATATTACGATCCCTTGATGTCTTGGTAGAGTCTGAACTGTGTCGAATATAATCTTCATTGATAACAGAATCCTAGTCCCAAATTAATGGTTACTTAAATGTAAGCAACATTTGTAGATTCTTATTCCTTTTGTAATGGTGCCATCTTGTTTTGCACAATACAATTATTATTCCCTCACAGCATTGTAATGTATGACATTCATACAATGTTGCTGTCAGAATAAAAGTTCAGTAATAGTCTTTGATCAAGGTTAATTATTTGGATGTAATCACCATCCTTGTAATGCTTGGTTTAGAAATTCTAAGAACATAATTAAAGCGCACAGCCTCTCTTATTCGCCTCAAAAAATTCTTCGAATATATATCTTCATCATTCATCAGAAAGTTTATTTTCAGACTTCAATAGCTTGATTTTTGAGCACAAAATTGTGGATCCAATTTTCTCCCCTCCAATAGTTAAGGTGCTGACTGATCCTGGGTTCTCCAGGTATTGTCAAGCCTCCAGTACTTCACTCATTCAGCCATTCTTTATTTGTGAATCCTGAGTATCGGCAGGTTTTGTACGTTTGCACTATTGTGCAACAGCGTGCACAGAGAAGTATAATAGGTAAAAAGAGGTGAGTTAAAGAGAGATGGTTAATCTAAATAAAAGTTTGGGTGGTTAGCTTTCTGATGTGTCACAAACCTGGGAACTTATCAAATAATAATAATAATCCTTGCATTTGACATAGCACTTTTCACGACTTCTCAACATCTCAAAGCTCTTCACAGAATATACTGTAAAGTGAATTGACTATATTTTGTGGATGAAACGTGGCAGCCAATTGCGCACAGCAGTGTCCCACAAACAGTCGTTGATTGAGTGCCGAAATTATTTTTTTTCTTGAGGGATTATTATCAGGCGTGCGATGTCACGCGATTGCAAACCAGTTCTGTGGCAATGTGCTCCATCCTGCATCCTGCTCCACCAGTTTTTTTTATTGCACTGATAATGGATACACAGTAGAAAAAGGTACATTGGTTAGTGCCTACTTCACTGCCTGGGGACAGCATTAGTTTGGGGTAGCAATATCTTTCAAGCTTGGAAAGAATGTATAACTAAAATAATGTAAGGTAAAAGCTAAAATGTCTGTTCTTGCTTAGGGGAGTAAGAAATAACCAGTAGAGTATTTCACTATCATTCAGTAGATATCAACATCATCTATACTAATAAAGATGAGTGGTTTGTGTCTCTGTGTTTCCGCCAACACAATAACTGATTGACATAGAGAAATGATTTATTCTCCATCGGAAAGGTCTTGCACGCAGGAGCGTCATGGTTTTTTTTTCGGGGCTCTTCTATCGTTGATGAGCTATATTTAAAAAATGCTTCAATTAAACCCCAAAATATGAGGTTTGTATGGTATTGTGCAACAAAGTAGCAACAGAGGAAAGCACACACCCTTCTAAAGAGATACATCTATACTAATATATTCTCCAACAAATGTATGGTAGCTTTTTTGGGTTGTCATGGGAGCTACAGTCCTCCCACAGGAGTCCTCCCAATTGCAACAACAGCAAGAACTTGGATTTATATAGTGCCCTCCACGCCGGACGACGTCTCAGAGCGCTTCACAGTAACAGATCCCGGGACCAAGCCAGGGGAAGGGGGAGGAAGGTGACCAAAGGCGCGGTCGAAAAGAAAGTTCTTCAGCAGAGACCTGAAAATAGGAAGAGAGGGAGCGAGGCGAAGGGAGTGAGGAAGGCAGTTCCAGAGCCTCGGGGCGCAGTGGCTGAAGGCACTATTAAAAAAAGCACCTTTTAATTAAGATTAAAAATTAAGACTTTTTTAAGGACAAATAAAAATGCAAGACAAAAGTGAGAAGGCCGATTAAATGAAACTAAATAACTTTTAAATGAAACTAAAGGCTGGACTTCAATGCTGAAAGAATTGCAAGAGCGAGGCAAAATGAATTGCCCGCTCAAACAATAGCTCGGCTGGACTTCGACGTGGAAAGGCATGTAAGGTGTACACACGGTGTTTATGGCATGTTAAATGATTTGTGCGTGGCATCACTGAAATCTACATTACATTTCGATCCTTTGGTTGCAAGCGTAGCTGCAGCGGGTACAGCTAGTATTTAATAATTATCTTGTTTAGAAATTACAGAAATTAATTATCCTTTTCCTCTTGTGTTACGATTTCTATTTTTGTTCTTGTGAAAGGTGAGATATGGTACACGAGCCATGTTTGTGTTTTAGATGTCTCGCCTATTTACCTGTGAATTATACCGCAGGTACAGTGGCAGATTTTCTATGGCAACAATATACTGCATTAGACTGGTTGCCAAGGGAATTGTAGGTAACCACACAATCTGATGGAAAATACATACTCAAAATGACTTGCACCATTTCCCTCCTACATACAGATGGGTGCAAAATCATCATGTGAAATGTGCAGTATTTTTAATATAGCTAAGTATTATTTTTACTTTTCACAGCTAAATATCATGCTGACTTCAAAGATATTGTAAGCAGGATTGCAGTGTATAAGCAGGAGAATGTAAGTACAAGTTATGAAGTACATTAGATATTTTTCAATGGAAACCAAACTTGTGCTTCATTAAGGTCTGAAACGCAGTAATTTCCAATGACATTTTTAATCATTCTGACTTGCAAATGGTAACTCATTCTAGTAGCTGGAAGTATATTTTGCTAATCCATGTGGACTCCATTCTTATATGACCTATCTCTAGAGTGGAGTGACAGCAGGTCTGGTTATGCACTTCCAGTTATTGGAAGGAGTTGTTATTTACCCATTTGTTATTAAGGAATTCACAGAATCACGAGATTGGTTTAGATGGAGAGAGCTCTTCATCCCTTTTAAAAACTGAATACAATCTTGAATTACTGTTTCAAAATGTGGTAAATTGTGCATTATTCAGTCTCTTTTACAATAATATTCATGTAATGCGCAAAGTGAGGAAGTAGAAAGCTGATTCTCCTCGGAGCAGGCGAGTCTAGGTATATTCTTGAAGAAAACAGCTCACTTATGGCTCCCATTCTTGTGACTGATGTGATTTCCTTCAATTGTTAAACAGTTAAAATCATATTCCTTGAATTCCATTTCATCGGTATAGAATTTTCCCATTATATTATAATATATATTATATTATTATTTAAGGCTATAGCCTTAACCAAGTTTTTCATTTTAGTTTGGTGCTTTATGTGAAATATATGGAAAACCTCAGTAATGCATTTGATTTTCGTCTAATTTATATATGAATTTATCGCTTGACACAGGGTGAAAAATATGTTTCACTCAATAAGAAATATCAGTACCGGCTACAGCAAAGAGGTGGACCTCGCAAGGAGAGAGAAACTACCTCCACTTCTGAAGCCTGCCCTGGGAAGGGAAAGTCTCAGAAAGACACTGCACGTAATATAATCAACATTGAGGCCCCAATTAGTAAACCGCGTGTGGAAGTCCCTGCAATAGAAAGAACGAGAATGTGTGAGTGGATTACACAAACGCCAGAACCACCTACACAAGCGCCTACAGACCTCAATAAGCTCACATTGTCTTCAGAACTACCCAATGACAGCCAGGTACAGTATAAAAATAACTTCAAACCTTTCTTTCTCAGCTCCTCCAGATTTTGTAGAAGTAAGGGGCGTGTGGTAGGAGAACACTTGAAATATACAGAGGAGATCGATCAAGTAACCATATTCAGTGTAACCTTAAAATTCAGCCAAGGCAGGGGAGATATTTGAAGAAAGGACAAGAATCTTAGTTGATCATTTGGGGGATAAGGAGACAGTAGTGCTGGACGAGAATGTGGGTGTTTGGTTCGTAGAACCTAGTGCACGAGAGGATATAGGCTTCAAAGTTGTGAATGGTCTGGAGCTTGGGAAGGCTGGTTAGCAGGGCATTGGATATGTTCAATCTGGAGAAAGGAGTGGATGAGGGATTTGGCTTCTTTGGAATAGTGATGGAAGCAGGCAATGATGCACAGATGGAGGATAGCCTACAATTCCAGCATGATGCCATGGTAAGCACTATGTATGATAATAATACTTACATTTGACATAGTGCCTCATTCCCTAGGACTCTGTCATTGGCCCTCTCCTCTTTAATATCTACATGCTCCCTCTTGGTGACATCATCCGCAGAAACGGGGTCAACTTCCATATGTATGCGGAAGACACCCAACTCTATCTTTCTGCCTCCATCCTCAACTCCAGGACCACTGCTGTCCTAACAGACAGAGAGGCAGTCGGTCAGGACGCCAGTAGTCCTGGAGTTCAGGGTGGAGGCAGAGAGGTCACCCCTCAGGCTGCTGAAACTCTTATTCATGCCTTCATCACCTCCAGACTCGACTATGAAAATTCCCTTCTTGTCGGCCTTCCCAACTCCTACCTCCCTCCACAGGCTGCAGATAATCCAGAACTCTGCAGCCCATGACCTCTCCCACACCAAACTCTGTGACCCCATCTCCCCCATTCTCACCCGACTCCATTGGCTCCCTATCCTTAAGAGGAAACAGTTCAGGATCCTGGTCCTCACCTACAAAGTCCTCCATGGCCTCGCCCCACCTTACCTCTGCGACCTCCTAACCCCCTCCCAACCTGCCCGCTCCCTCCGCTCAGCTGGCTCTGGCCTGCTCCACGTCCCCCGACCCACCCGCCCCATTATTGGCGGGAGACCCTTCAGCCACTCTTCCCCCAACCTCTGGAATTCCATCCCCCAATCACTCCGCCTCACCACCTCCTTCAACTCCCGTCTCAAAACCCTCCTCTTTGACCATGCCATCGGTCACCACCCTCCCCTTCCCTCTTCCCTTCCTTCTCTCCCCCTCTAAGAAACCCCAAGTATAAGCCTGTGGAGAGCAGCAGATTCTCCCCATAACCACCCAACAAGACCCAGAGTCTGAAATGCTGTACACTGTCCAGCGCGTTGGGTCATCCTCCCGATGTGAAGGGCGCTATACAAATGTAATGTTGTTGCCTTATCACGTCTTCGATATCTCTCAAAAGTGTTTCATAGAATATACTATAAAGTGAATTGACTGCAGATTTTGTGGGCGAATTGCAGCAGCAAATTGAACACAGTAGTGTCTCACAGACAGTCGTGGATTGAATGACCAAATTATTATTATTGAATAATAATGGCATTGCTTCAACTATCTATGACAGAGTGGCTGCTGAGGGCTGAATTTGAGAAACTTCCATGGACCGCATTAGCAATATTTTTGTGTTTCCCTTCCAGAAACGTAACATTTACACAGTACCTTTTTCATGTCAGAAGGCCGTAGTCTCTCAGTGGGGAAAGAGGCAGATTTGTTGTGAGGAACCTTCTGGGTCTTGTTGGGTGGGTAGGGAGAGAATCTGCTGCTCTCCACAGGCTTATACTTGGGGTTTCTCAGAGTATACCATGGAGGTGACCAATCATATGCCTCTTTCTGAGCTGGAAGAGCAGGAGTCGGCACGATCACCCACAGGCAAACTCGCGAGAGAGAGGGCCCGAAAATCCTGTTATGGTTCCCACTATTTGACAGGTGGATAATCTCGCGAAATCAGAGGAGCTGGCGGACCCCATTTGAAATTGAAATGACTGTTAACTCACTATCTGGCAAGCAGCCAATTGGGATGCGGGAGAGTGCACTAGCCGGCAGTGGTAACGGCCACTCTTCCAACAGCGCGAATGAGGTAGTTCACTATCTGGCAGCGGAGAGGGAGGGAACGGGTGGCCCGAAATTGGAAATGGTTTGCGAGCCAAATGCGGCATGTCGGCCGCCAGTTGGACCGCCCTGATCTATGATGACCTCCTTTATCATCACATGCATGTGCTCCAATCTTGAATCTGTAAGAGAAATCGTAACCCATTACAAATGAAAAATAAGCAGAACTGTGTTCATTATTGGAAGCTTAATTAATTTAATAATGTTGCTTCCACCTCACCACGATGCCTTCATTCACTTGTTTATTTTGCAATTTGTTGGTATTTTACTGCAGTATGACTTATTTTTACTTGGGAGGTAATGCGCAATGCAGTATATTTCGGCAAGACTACAGACACATGCATTGCACTAAAGTATGCCTTTTGGTAGATAACCTAATAACTGATTGTTTTCACAACCAAACTGTTCCCCCTAATGAGGATATTGGGTTGTTGGTACAGTGGTTCTTTTATTTATTATTTGGAAAAAGAAACATTTAATTGAAACATACTAAGTTATTCTAAAATATTTAAGCAGAAACTATTGTTCTTTCCGTGGGATTGTGGAGAGAAATGTGAGAAGGTGAAGCAGAGGATGACGTTTAAAGGCGGGCCAGAAGGTCACTTGTTGTCCACTAGTAAATTTGTTTTTCTTCTCTCATCGTGTTATATTTTCCTTCTTAGAATAATAAGCATACATCTTAGAATAATGATACTGCTATTTTATAAGCAAACACTGAACATGTATAAATGATCATTGGAAGGAAAGCAAGATAAAATTTGTCAAAAGTCCCAATTTTGAAATTAAGTTAAGGAGATTATATAACAAAAACTCTGGTGCTTCGAAAGGCTGCTTATTATAAATTCATGATTGTTTCAGTCTGTCTGGCAATCCAGTTTTGCTATTGCTCTTAATGTAGTTGGGACATTGTACTGTAAATTCTGTCATGAATTTGAAATTGACATCATTGGAAGGGCAAATGACTGCAAATGCCAAGAATTCCCAGGCCTGCTTATGCTACATTTGCTTGTGCAATTTATAGTGATAATAATATAATCATAATCCTTGCATTTGCTACAGCACCCTTTACATGAGGAGGACATCTCAAAGCACTTTTCGGTATCCACTGCAAAGTAAAGTGACTGCACACTTTGTAGGTGAACACTGCAGCAACAACAAGAAGATTACATTTATAGAGCGCCTTTCCCGTCGAGGGGACGTCCCAGTGCGTGAACAATGTGCAGACAATTTGCACACATTAAGTCCCACAAACAGCAAAGTAACATACATCTGAATAAGTAGCCGGGACTTCAGTTTAACAACTCATCCAAAGGATAGTACCTCCGACAATGCAGCACAACATTGCATTGAAGTTCTGGTTTAGATCAGTGGTGGCCAACTTTTGGGGTGTCAAGAAGTGGCCCACCGAATCCCCGCACCAGTCCAGGCAAGTCCACTCCGAATCAGTACCTTCTTTCCGGTCACTTCCGAGCCGTGATACCCATGACTTGGCTATTAATGAAGAAAAATTCAATAAAGAAAAATTTATTTGGTTGGCCAACCAAAAAATTTGGCTACCACTGGTCTAGATCATATAAATTCAAAATCTCTTGAGCCTTTAGTCCACAACGTTCTGACTCCAAGGTGGAAGTGTCAACTTTTGATGACTGAAGTTCATTTTACCACCACTTTTTTAGGAGTTCAGTGTTTGCTCTTGAATAAGCCCCAGTTTCTACATTGTTGGTTTATTTAAATTGCAGGAAATTTCTATTACCGGCTTGACTGAAGCATGTGAAAGAAATCAGGATAAAGGACCTATTACACCTGAGAGTGGTACAATAATCCCAGTCCATATTGAAGTGAAGGTAGAAGAACCTGAAGAAACTGAAGCAGAGAGTGTGCTAAAGGTCAGTTGGAAGAATGTTCTCTTTAATAATCTGATAAGATTACTTTTATATAATGTCTTTCGTGTAAAATAAATATCTATAAATGTTTTACAAATTAAACTGATTAGAAACAATGTTAATGAAGCAAATACAATACAAATATATGTCAGCAACGTCTCGTGCGCAACAAAAGTAGCTAATTTATTTGAATTTCGGGGTCAATTTTGAAGAGGGAAATATGAGCCAGGGTATCAGGAAGAATGATTCCACGTTTGTTTGAAATAACACATCCACCTGAATCATAAGGGAGATGTAACTTAAATTAATACTATCAAAAAGTACAGTGGTCCTCTATTCAGCCCTGTAAATCTGCCCTCTGAACAAGACAGTTGAAATGTTTTTCTATGAAGAGTATAATTTATTTAATTAGGAGCCATCTGAAAGTAAATACTTTTGTGAGCTTTGTCCTATTTGAATGGACATGCGGGAATTACTGGAGACAGAATTGGAAGGAAGGCAGCTTAATCTGCTCAAACCTGGCAAGTATCTCACTCAGCAATGTTGCAATGTTATTGAATATCAAAGCTATTTTGATACTGTAAATGAACTCTTGGTTTATATTGATTACAAAAAGAATTCAAGACTGCAGAAGGTTCTTTCCAAGGACTTCCTCAAACTCTGCTAGTTTTATGCTCAGTGTTAAAACACCATATAAGTTGTATTGCGCTGCAGCTGTAATTGGATTCAGTTTATAATGGAATTTACTTTAGTACTTTACATGAAGAACCTTGAAGAGTGTGAAGAAATGCAAAATTTGCTACAGTGGGTGAACACACTAGAACTCTTTGTGTGGTAGATATGTGCAACAATGCCTATTTCAAAGTAATTTAAAATATATAACTGATAAGTGTTTTTATATTTTGGTTTATGTAATTGTTACCTTTACTTTTGTAATGGAACAAAAACTTACATTTATATAGTGCCCTTCACGCTGGATAGAGTCTCTGATCACTTCTAATGTCGCCAGATTAATGGTACATTGTTATTGTTTTCATGATAATACTTGTAAAAAAACATTATTTTACAAACTACTTGCCACCCCTCACGTTTTAATGCTTTTAAAAATCTATGTGTTATGTAAAATTTACTGCCCTTCAAATACCCCATTCGGTGGCACATAAATATCTTGGGAAAAGTAAACAGAAAAATAGGCAAATTTGAGCAATTTACAGAAAAGATGGGAGTACTTTAAGCACAAAGCAGCACTTTAAGTGGTCTCGTACCCACCTCACAAGAACCATTGGGAAGGATGCACTGAATTTGAATTGTAGGCCAAAGTTGATTTGTTTGAGGTTGAAGTTGACTTTGAGGTAGGCATCTACAAAAATGTGAGCTGTAAGAAAGGAACCTGTCCTCAATCTAACTCAATACTCCCTAGATGTCCAACATGTATGGGATCATAGAAGCTGGGTGGTCCTGACTGACCCGCATCCAGCATTTTGCATGCAGTTGAGATTTGCAATCTCAACCCAGGGCTTGTTTTATCATCTGTTTTGTGCCTGATGCAATCAATCTGGTCAAGAAGTTCTTTGTTAAGATAACTAACACTTCTACACTCTTATGCAGTTGATCAGCAACTTTTAGCAGCTGGCTCATCAGAGATATTCCTATATTGGGAGTACGTGCAAGCAGAGTCCCTCCAAATCTTCTGTTCTGTTTTTGTACATTATAAAGGTTTTTTAAACTATTGTTTCAGGGCATAGTTGCTGGTATTTTTAGGAACTGAAATTCTAATATTGCATAAAAAGATTATGTCAACTGCAAGGAATTATTATGGTTTAAAAAATTGAGGCACGCTAAATTATAACCGTTTATAATCATAAAGATAGGACTTAAGCTATGCTTGCAAGTTTAAATCTTTACCTTACACTCTGTTCTCATACAATCTATTATGAAGTTGGGGGGTCTAGAGGGGAGGGACATTGCAGGATTGTGAACAAATAAATAGCTTGAATGTATGCATTTTTAAAATATTGCTAAGAGTATTTTTCCAGTATATTTAATACTGGGATAGGGAAAGTAGAAAAATGCACAGAAATGTTTTTGCAGCTGTCGTAAGATAGAAAGCAGGTGCCTGTGGGAAGCTACAAAAAGCTACAAATGATAGCACTTAAAGAGTTAAACCCCAGTTGATGTGCAAGCCTAATTTCTAAAATGACCAGTAATCTCTGACCTGTTTATGATGATGCTTACTAGAATACAAATAGTTTTGAACTGACAAGTCAATTAGTTTTGGTTCTTTTAAATTTGATTTGGGTAAATTTGACTTTGTGCCTGCTGAAAAGGAGGGAAAAAATTGAGACTGAATGGACCAATGTTATAGTAATGTAATTTTAGCTTTCAGAAAGTGTCGAGTCCAGATCAGTGCATCCAGATTTCAAATGCTGCATCATGGAAAAGTACTTCAATTTAGAATAGAATCAGTAATAGTCAAACATTAAATGAAATTGTGTAAAATTGCAGCAAATTAGGAGGAATGATAATTGCTTCAGGGTTTAGCATTTTGGCAGAGGTTTGTTTGTGTAGCCCAGAATAATTTCAGATCTGCCCGCCATTTCTATCGAAGCCAAGTTCTGCTTGACTGCAGGTCAGAATTATAACACTGAGGCAAAGTAAATTCTAACTGATAAAACTGACGTGGAAATTGCCGTTTATTACAACATAGTTTCAAAGCTAATTGCTATCAGATTGTTTTTCCTTTGTTACACTGTCACAGATACTACTGTATGGAACAGCTTAGCTGTCTCCCCAGTCAGCAAAACTAATAGGCCACCTAATTTTATTTATTAATGTTAATTGTTCTTTCTTCACAATAACATTCTTACAATCTTTACCACCTGGGAATTTGGTAATGTTTGAAATTAAGAGCTATGTTCCCTGTGCAACTGAATTAATGGAGAAATTTTTAGGGGAAGCAAATCTGCATTTCCTATTTTAAATTGTAATTGTATTTTGTGCTTGTACAGCTTCATAATATCTGAGGAAAGTTTGTTAACTGAAATGAATGGTAATGGTATTGATACTGCTTGTTGCAGTTCAGGTTCATGACTGTCACTGTCTCCTAATACGGTATATACTTTGAGTTCTGAACATCCTTACTGCTTCCTCTTCTGAAGTTCCTGTACTGGAATATAGCTCTATCAGCAACTTCTATAAACTCACTATTATGGCAATTCTTCATTTGTAAGCCTGTCACCGAGTATTGAATGCTGGGAGTATTATAGCTGAGTCTATTCCTGTTCTTCAGGACAGGATTGCGTGATCAAGAGCAGGAATCCTGGTGGCACGTCTTTTCCCCTTCCTAGCCCAGGCAATATCAGGCCAATTGTATTTCCCTAGCTCAACTCTAGCTGAGATTAAATAACATGGGATACCATGAACAAACCTAGAACCTTTGAGTCTGGTTGTTTCAGTTCAACATAGTTAATGCAATTACCAATTGAGCTCTTTGAGGTGCTGCACACTAAACTTTTAATGTAATTTGTCAAATGCAAAACTCACTTTTAATTACATCTAACTTCCATATACAAATTCAGTTTATCTTTATAATCTAATAGCCCAACGATGCAGATTTCATAATGATAGGACTTGTGCTTTGATATCAGTTATTGATCTTTTTAAAAAAAGAGTATTTGCTTTCTCCCTTTTCAAAAATGAAGGTTACGAGGTTACTAAAGCCACAAAAAGGGTTGCGTTTTTGTTGCCTCATGCCTAACAAGCACCAGGTTCCATACTGAAGATCAATTCCCAAATTAACAGTGGAGGTATTTCAAAAAAAAGGTGCAAAGTTCATGGATGCAGTACGTGCAAGGTTGTCTTTTATTGCAGTAGTAATTTTCCCGGTGGATTTTATACAATAACTGCTGATTATTGCAGTATGTGTACCTTGGCTGTGAAGATAGTGAATAAATGAATGAACCTAATACAATACTATCAATCATGTGATATTTTTCCTGGAGTGTAAGTGCTATAAGTACTTTTATTAAATTTCACATTTTGGTCAGTTTAAAAAAAGCTTAAGATAAAGGAATGCTTTGGTTTACATTTAAAGCTTAAAATGTTGCACATATCTGTAGTGACAGCTCTTGCACTTTACTTTTACTTGTGAGAAACATTAACATAACTGTAGTAGAAGTGAATTCAAAGCGCACATTGAAAGGATCGCACACATTGATGGGTGAGCTATAATTTATCTGTATGGATAATATTCTAATTCATCAATCCATGTCCTGAGTGAGTTAAATTTTCCACATGATTGGCAAACTTTGGGTCATCCATCAGTATTTTGGCTTTAGTTATGTAGTGTTTCTACTAAAATATGAATGTATTCGCAAGACAGATGGGAAATCAAAAGGCTAACGTTATACAGCGGTCATTATCCCATGGCACTTGTTTTTTTCTTTTTAAGGGTGCAACTTACTGTCAGTGCTTTTTGCCACCACAGGGTATTGTTTAAAGATTTGTTAGAACAGAAGTTCCCATCATGGCTCAGGGAGTTAATGTATCACCTGCTGTGTTACTCAGTCAACACAGACCAGAATTTCTAGCTTCAATTCAACAGTCTGCTGAGTTAGCTGATCTCAGCCAGAGTAGTGCTGAGCACAATTGGCCCCAAGATGCATCAATTTGGAAGAAGAAAAATCAGCCAGTATTTCTAATTCAGTTTGTTGTCCAAGATCCCCACTGGAAAGTACACGTTGATGGTGACAAGATGTGGCTTGGCTGTGAAGCTTCCCACAGTCATAACCTGCCGATATTCATTTATTTGGCTGATATGTGAAGAATTGGCAGTTGGTTGTGGAAAACTTCCAGCACCCATCCTACCCACTCCATGCATGCATTGCTGACTTTAAGAGAGAGAAAAGGTCAGGCAAAGAGTGGTTGAAATTTCTTGTCTCGCTCCACAGCCTCTTTTAAGTAAGCAGTGCTATGTCCAATTGAAATCAGCTATAAAACTTTCATTCGTTGTTTTTTTTAAATTGGAGATGTCATTTAATGTAAATGCTTCATCCTGTTGTGTTCTTTATCACGTGACTCTATGCAATTGTAATTAATAAAGTCTAACTAAACTGGGGTATAATTCAAAATTGAGAGAGAGATTTTGAATGCGATTTCTATTACAATCATCCGTATAATAGATTGGAAATAATTTGATTTTTTTAAACTTGTATGAATATAAGGAGGGACATCTTTATTTTCAATATTTGCATTTATAGCCCACATTTATTATCACACAAATGATAGCAGAGCACTTTATATTTAGTAAAAGGACAAAACAACAACACTTAGTGTGATATTTCAGAATAGGTCAATCATTTTGGTTAATGCTCCTTGATGACAATTATAATTGAAGTAAGAAGTATGGTTCTATCATACAGCACGATGCATTTACCCATCAAGTCATCATCTATTTCTACACCAAGGATTTTAGTGTGGATATCTGCCTCACTGTGGACTGAAGTCCATTTAACTCTCCTGCAAATTCAAGTCCTGAGTTTCGAACTATAGATAACCTAAAATATCATGTGATGCAGCTTGCATCTGGGTTGCCATAATCCTGTATACCTGCAGTATCAAAAAATTGAAAGTTACCAAGTTACTTATTCAAACTACTATTGCCCCAGCCTGAGTATTCTAATACTGCCCACTCTCAAAACTCTTGGAGGCCCCTGTGGCTAGCATTTGTAAGGGGAAAACAGCCAAGTTAAGAGATTTAGGTTAAATTATTTCAACCCATAGATCTGCAACTGATTACCAGTACAATCAGTGTTTGCAAAAGGAGGTTAATGGGAAAATCTTGGTCAGTTTCCTTTTAAAAATGACCATATACGTTTACATTTTTGTGTTTACACATTTTTGAACATTAGTGTCATCAATTTTTTCATGGACACTGATTTTAACATACACATTTAATATTAATGTCCCATATTTAATCCCATCTGATAGTTGTAATGCAGGTTCCGCAGTTAGCCTTAGTATCTCCAAATAGGGTTCTTGTTTCTGAATGCTTTTGGGGGACCTTTGCTGGAAGCGTGATTGAATTGATGTTGGAAAAGAACATGATCAGAATTGCTGGTTGTGTGAAAATTAACCCACTAATATTTGCATCCCAGCATCTTTGGAGTCATGCACTAGAATAGTTTGCTTCAAGAGATGGTTTGAGTAGGAAATTGGAGAGAAATTAAGGATGATTTGAGTAATTCTGGAATACTGTTTTTACCTCCTTGGGATAGGTAGAAATCTGGCCACCAGCTCTTGGTCGGAGAATAATGTGCGTCACAGGAAAACTAAAATATAGAGTTATAATTAAAAGAGGAATATCCTTTAGCATACCGCGACCTCACAGAAAAGCTACAATTTTTTTTAGTGTTTCTAAATGAGTGTTGCGTTTGTTATATTGATGGATTTGAAACTTGCAATGTATTAAATGTCCTGTATATTTTTTGCAAATCTACTTTATATATATTAGACATAGCTGTTGCTGGCATTTGGCAAAAACGAAGGTAATAAAAGTTCAACCGTAAAATAAGTGATGTACTTAAGTGAAAATCTTTATAGCTGTATTTTTTGTTTCATTTAGGACGATTCAGACCAGAATCAATTTGAAGATGGAAGTATCGAGTCGGCATCTGTTGCTGTAAGTATTTATTGAAGTTCCAGTTCTCATCATAGAAATTACATCATGCCACTCGACCCTTCAAACTAAATTGATGGTACCTCATGTAAAAATTCTTACTACTGTAATCCCAATTCCTTGCTGTCCCCATACCCTCTTATATTCTCCCTATGATAACTAACTTGATCAAAGTTGTTTACAACAAAATGGAGTTGGATATTTTGATTGTTATAGCTGAAAATTATGCTGTGAACACACAAAATATTTCATTCTTACTGTTATCTAGACATGACTCATTATATGCACCTTCTACGAATTGGAAATGAAAACAGTCATTTTCTCATTCAGATTTTGTAATTAAGAAATCCCTTTACCTAAATTGCTTGAGCTTCACTCTTGCTTTTATGATCTCATCCAAACTTTTGAGTGATGACAGCTATGTTAGCACATTTCTAATCAGCATTTACTTTCAATATAATGCTCTTACTATGTCCATTGAGCTCCCTATTATGTAATACTGTTCAATTCATGTAACTCATCTTTAACATGTGGTGATCTGAAGAAAAGACTAACCCAGTAAAGCAAACATCTGAGAATACTTAGCAGAGAATGGTAGAGAATATTTGAAAGTACCTTTGTAGACATCTGATGGTAGACATCTGAAGGTGCTTACATGGAAAGCAAATGTCAAGTCAGTCAGTCACTTGCTCAATGGGCTGTTTGAAGTAAGCATGCACAGACACATAAATTGGAGTATGAGTGTCGCACTGAGTTTTGGCACCACTGTAAACACTCTTTATACTTACACAGGGAAAAGGTAAACATTGTTTTGTGAGCAAGTCCTGAATTTGTTATTGATTTATTAACTTATTGATTTTGAAATATATTTAGAACAGTAAGTGTAAAATCAGCTTTGCACGGGTACAGATTTTGAAAGATCATTCATCATAAAGGCATGAGCCAAGCTTGTTAATAGTCCGCCAGGATCTGTTTTCATTAGCATTGGGTCAATCGTCGCTGAATGGGATGCAGTGAATAAGTCTCGGTGTAATCCCTTGATACTGAATAAATTTTATTCTGGGAATGTGTAAAGCGGCCTTATGGATGTGCAGTATATTATTCCAACAAGCAATTACACTAAAGTGGTGACATTAAAGCAACTATGATTGCAAAAAATGATCAGCAAATTAGATCTTATTACTGGGCACATCAAAAACTGCCCCTAATACTTTAACTCTGTCAATAATAATGTTATGCAAGAATCCATCAGACAGGGACAAAAGCTAAACCTGACTGGGATACTGCCAACAACCTACTTTATATCTGATTTTATGTTCTTTTCAGTCATGCCGTGATTTTTTGTTCATTTGTAATTTATGTAAAACTTCCAATTATGAAAAATCAGTTGTAATTAAAACAGTCAAGGGAATTACAAAAAACTATCTTGAAGTTGGCTAATTAAGAGACCAATAAAGTGATTATTTTTTTTTCCCTAAAATACAACAACAACTTGCACTTATATAGCGCCCACCATGCAGGCTAACGTCTCAGAGCACTTAACAGTGGCGGAGCCTGATTCCGAACCGGGAGGTGGGGGGAAGTGGCTGTAAGCATGCTCAAAGAGGAAAGTTTTCAGGCAGGACTTTGCTGATGTATATCTTGCAAAGTTTACATGATTTTAAAAATGGGGAACAACTGCTTTGAAACTGGTTTGTCGGCCAGTCTTTGCCTACAAGCCGAGCGTGAAACTACAATATTTTGCACATTTTTTCTGTGATATAGGTTTTAGTGAATACACCCTGTTTTAAATCCAAGGAAATTGCCATTTCCCATCAGTTTCTAATTCATTTCAAACATTGTGTTAAAGGTATTGAAGAGGTATGCCAGCCTAGCTCATTTGGTAGCATTCTCATCTCTAAGTCAGAAGGTTGTGGTTTCAAGCCTCATAGTGTGGCTTGGAATCCATGTTGCTGATGCTGCAATGCAGCAATATTGGAGGTGCTGTTCTTCTATGACATTAACTGAGGTTCCATCTACCTGTTCAGGTGAATGTGAATGATTCCATGCCACTATATTGAAAAGAGAAGGAGATTTCTCCCTGTGTTCTGGACAACAATCCCCCAATAAAACTGGTCACTCACATCATCGATGTTTGTCGTGGAGTCCTGTAGCTCAGTGGTTAGAGCACTCGCCTCGCAAGCGAGAGACCTGGGTTTGATTCCCAGCAGGGCGAAACCTTGGGCAAGTTTCCTTACTCCACACGCCTGATAATAGTTCCTCAAAAAAACCCAATAATAAATTGGTCACTTCAATCTACGACTGTTTGTGGGACGCTGCTGTGTGCAATTGGCTGCCGCATTTCGCCCACAAATATACAGTCAATTCACTTTACAGTCTACTCTGTGAAATGCTTTGAGACATCTGGAAGACGTGAAAAGTGCTATATCAAATGCAAGGTTTATTATTGTAAGACTTTGCTGTGCGCAAAATTGGCTATTATGTTTGCCTCAGTCACTACACTTTACAGTATATTCTCTGAAGTTATTCAAGACATCTTTCCAAACATGAAAGACCAAATTTAAGGTATAATTGTTTGACCTTAAAGTTATTTATAGATTGAATATTTTTGTCATTCCTTTTATCATATTGCATTCATTTCTGTTTTATTCTGTTCTCTTTCTGCTCTTCACTTCTATTCTGCAACATCTTTAATTCTTTTATTGTTGACTCATTTCGTATTTGTTTGTATTTCCTTTTCCACTGAAATGACACATTGCAACCAGTGGCACCTAAATAAGCTTTGCCTTTCGCATAAAACCTGCACTTGGCCTATAGTGGTGAATGTTTTCATACCACTGACCAAAGACTTTCCAGTCATTGCGATAATCATTGCAAGTGCAGTACTATGTGTAAGGTGAGGTTTATTCATTCAGTGGAGCCGAGCCGTGAATATTGAAGGATTGAAGTTCTGCTATCCAGTTTAAACAGATTGGTAAAACTGTGGAGAGAAAAAAGATGGCTTTGGATTTCTTCACCATACTTGATGGTAAACATTCTCTTCAAATAATTTATTACAGAGTTGTTGTTGGTAACTGTAGGGTTACTATTGTGTTGTTAATCCGAGCAATGTATGTCTAGTGAAATCTGAAGATTGTGCAGGTATAGTTAAATGAGATGTTTCAGACTGATGGCTTAGCAAATTTATTCAGTGAGCATTGCTGTCTGGAAATGTCTTGGGTTTGATCCCCAGTCTTTTCTGTGTGATCCGAAATGGGTTAACTGGAATTGCAACATTGATCTTAGCCCAGTGGTTAGAGAGGACACTGAATCCACCACGGTTTCAGCCCCGGATTGCTGTACAGCGATACCAATAGAAGTTTACATGTGTAGATATTTTTGGATGACAACCAATCCAGACTTGATTGCAATGCTCCTCCCCTCCGCTACAAACTAGTCAAATAGTTTTACCAACACTGAATGTCAAGGTTCACACTACATCAGAGGTGGGAATATTCCCCAGCTTTAGGTTTCTAATGACTACCCTAGTTGATCCACCTTGGCCTCCTATCAGCATTTGAGTAGGGGGCAATCCTGTCATTTGTGGGATAATTATGCTGTCAGTGTTGGATATGGGTGGAGAAATTAAATTTCAAGGCAACATTTAAACATACTCAGTTGTGATCGACAACATTTAAATTTCCTCAGTTGTGATTGTTTTGTTAATACATCCACAAAGCTTGGGCAATGCTCTGATTAGATTTAATGGGAGAGTGGTCAAGGAGATGTCCTTTCACCTTCTTGCCCCACTGGTCGGTCTACTCTTAAACGCTTGCTTATATGCTAGTAAAATGTGTTGTATCGAAATATGAACACCACCAAATCTGACATTAATTTACAGATACAAGTTGTAAAGGAGGGGAAAGGAAGAAAAGTTCAAGATGTGAAAACAAAGCAGTTTCTGATTGTGCCAGAATATTTGGTAAACATGAAGTAGATGTAGGATATCAGTCAAATGCCTGCAGAGGAGGAAAGAGATTATTTTAACAGAATTTGTACATTTTGCAACCATCCTAATATTTTCTGTAGTTCAGCAGCCACTGAGGTGGTTACCTTTTTCAATTTTTGTTAAGCTTCTGGAACAGGTGGTTGTAGGGAGATTTTAGTTTGGGCTTCAATCCAACTGAAATGGGTTCTACGGAGCACCAATATCAGCGGGTCCATGAGATTCCAATTCACAGGCAATCTGCTTTATGTTGTCAGTTGTAAATTGGAGCATGCTTGCAAACTGGAAGTGTTCCAGTTTCCAAGGAACAGTAAAAACAGGGCAGTGATTTGGGATTACAAAACTTTATCACCAGTTCCAGGCTGAAGAAAAATGCTATATACGATTTTGTATTTTGCTGGAAAGTCAATGAATGGTACAGTAAATCACACCTGTCACTGTGCCTTAATTGGTGCTCAGTAATTGAAACCTGACATATTGTGGCATGATTGGGTCGGGTGTCTGCTAATTTAGAAAAGAAACTGAATAATTCTTCAAAGGAATTCCTGCCTTCCAGAGAACAACCGGCTTTATATTTTGTTTATATTTTGTTAGGACCAACAGTACCATATTTCATACAGTCTTTTTAATTGTTTTTAATCCTCAGCATTGATCTTGTTTGCATGACTGACTAATCCTATTCACAGTGGGGCATTTCTCTCTTAGCCAAGCTTTCAGATGTTCTCTCTGTAATTTCACCTCTATTTTGTATTTATCCAAATAGACTTCTGGAATTGCTCCAGAAGAGCTTTCCAGATTTTAAAAAAACTTTATGATGTAAGATTATTTCAGAAAACTGCAATTTGCCCTATTGTAATTTTGTAAGTACCTCTAATATTGCCATCAAAGGTGGAAGCTGCAATTTGTTCATCAGATTTGTCATCCATTTCAACTAAATTTACTAAATACAATAATAATCCTTGTGTTTGATATAGCGCCTTATCATGTCTTTGAAAAGTCTCAAAGCGCATCACAGAATATACTGTAAAGTGAATTAACTGTATATTTTGTGGGCGAAACATGGCAGCCAATTGCACACAGCAGTGTCCCACAAACAGTCGTGGATTGAGTGACCATTTTATATTATATTCCAATTAATATTTTTGAAGGAATTATTACCCCCCGCAAAAGTGATCCGTCAATCGACTAATAACCAGGTTCCTACTTACTGCTAGGTAAACAGAGGCGTGTGGAGTAAGGAAACGTGTCCAACATTTCGCCCTGCCAGGATACAAGAAATATAATTCTTGTATTTTGTTCAGTCCAATGTCTGAGTCAGGACAGTCTAGGACAAATCATACCCTGTTTTTGGTAATAAATTGTGGCTGAGAAAATGGGTCACTAACTTTTTGCCATAAAATAGTACGTGCTAGATGGACAGAATGGCCTATTTCTCTGCGGTAACACTCTGATTCAAGTAGTGTTACATTACACAGTCCAGCATTTCAAAAAGCTGACATTTCTAAAATTTATGATTTTAGTTTCTAATAATTTGAGGCATTGCCCTGGCATTGAAGTGCTTCAGGTTAGACTGAAGTTTCCCCTTCTGATTGTGGACTAGCTTGTGCTATTGATGTGGTTCTGTATAAGGATGGGCACAACCTTGAATGTTCAGAACTACTTTTGAGAGCATATTATTCAGACATTGCCAGAGTTCAGAAAGCTTAGTACTCCAAACGGATACCAGAGTTGGCATAATTAGCATGCTAGTGCAATGTCTGTTTTGAATACTGAATGAGGTGGATTGTCTCCATTCACATTGCTCTTTCTCAGCGGGAGTCGAAAAGTAAGGATTGTGTGTTTTGACTGCCATTCACGTACACGTGCATTCAAAGTGATCAAGTAAGAAACTGATGAGATGGAACAGGGAAGAGGTAGACATGCCAGGGAAGTAAACATAAAGTGAAATCATTCTATAAAATGGGAAGAGGATTAGTTTCATATTAATGGTACGTATATGTAATTTTGAACAATTAACATTTATGATTTGTTACATAATGTAAACCCTCCTGGCAGGTCAGGTCTTTAGAACTTGCATGTCCATAAGCGGAGTCATCTCTGAAAACAAAATCCACGCAGACAGAAGGCTCACTGTTTAAAACAGTCGACAAAACAAGCTTGGGATCTTGCCAAGTTTACATTGCAGTGCTTCCAAACTCATACCAGTATGAAACATACCCCAAAGAATAAGTTTTCATGTTGATGAGATTGAAGTGCATAATTCAGCTGGATTTCTACTACAACAACCACAAGATTACATTTGTATAGCGCCTTTCACGTCGGGAGGACGTCCCAAGGCGCTGGACAGAGTACAGCATTTCAGACCCGAACTGGGGTTTGGGGGGGTAAGGGAGGGCAAGGGTGGTGGCCGATGGGATAGTCGAAGAGGGGGGTCTTGAGGTGGGGACTTTAAGGAGGGGGTGAGGCGGAGTGACTTGGGGATGGAATTCCAGAGGTTGGGCGCAGAGTGGCTGAAGGCTCTCCCGCCAATGGTGGGGTGGGTGGGTCTCTACTTCACCATTCATGCGAGACAGCAATCTATCCTGGACATATTGCGGCATAGACTTGGTAATATAAACACGCTATTTGATCCTTGGAGCACTGCAACTGGAAAAAGAATGACTCTGCTTGCTCTTAAAGCAATACTCCATAATCATTATTATTAGTGTGTTGTGGAATTTGAGGTTATGGTACAGCAAAAAGTCACATTTGTCTTAGACTCTTCTATTTGCAGATTGTGGCTGATAGTGGCTGAAGTATAAATTAGGCTTCCTGTTATGTATTATTTCTAAATTAGTTTTCTTCCTATTCCTATCAATTGTTCCTGTGTTATGCCCTATCCTGGCCAAACCTGATCTCATTACTATCCCAATGCGGAGTTTCCTGCCAGGAGGTACACTGAAGTAGCCTGGGCTGATGAGGCTCAGATTTTCCATCTTTGCTGTGGGAAAGTGCCTGGCAACTGCTTGCCACATCTTCATGTTGTGGTTGAGATCAGGAGCTCAGTAGGTGGGAGTTATGAACACTATTCAGCATTATGACAGTATGTGGTACAGTGTGCTGAAGTTCCAACACCTTGGGCTGTTCAGTCATCCTCAAAATTTGGGTATGTTAGTCTGGAGCATTTTCTTGTGAATTGTACTCCATTGGGTTGCATTAAAACTGATCTGTGTGTAGGATAACATTCTCATTGATTTTAAGAATTGTGCTTTAAATGGGCTGTACTTCTGCTTGGTTCATTTTTACAGTTGGATCCTTTGGAAAAGGAATGGCTGAAGTGTGCAGCAAGTGGACAGTTAGCAGCTTTGACTGATCTTCTCAGTCAGGATCCATCTCTGGCGGTGAAAAAGGTAGACGATGAGGCAAATTTACCTCTTTATAAATTGGACAGATGAATTAAAAATTGACACCTTTTCCCAAAATACAAAATCATTGATTAACCAATAAAATGTGTTTTTACATGTTTGAACTTACATTCCACAAACTTGTTTTAAATGCATATAACTCTTAATTAAATATCTATTAAAATTGACATTTGTCATATTAAGAATTGTTGGGAACTTTCCCAGTGGCTCAGTGAATAAATAAATCACAATCTATAGCTTTAAATATAAGGTGATCAGTGATGGGAGGTGTATTCTCTCAATTGACCGAGAAAAGGGGAAGAATTTCACAACTGAAGCGTGACCATGTGCATTGTACTTTTTTAATGCAAATAAGTTACTGTGTTCTGGACAGGTGTCTGATTTACAGGAATTAATGTGCAAATTCAACATCTGTTTGCCACATTAAATGGGATATTAAATATAGCATGTTTATGCTAATGTGCAGGTAACTGCAGGTAATATGCTTTGTATGCGACCTCGATAATATATAAAGGTATTGTTTTTTTATTTTTATTTTGCATATATTCTTGATTGAAAACCCTTAGGACTTCACCTCTGTAAGTGACATCATTCATACTCTACCGCTTGCTTGGAATGCTGAATCCATTATCTTGAATTTACTTTACACGTTCACTTAGTTTATATCCCAATCAGCTTGTTATTTCATCATAAGTTAGACGTTAAAGCACTTGAGTGTGTTTTACTGCATTTTACAATTTGTGACTTTGAACAAGATTCTGTTTAATGTACTGAAGTGTGTATGTTAGAAGAACAAGAATGTAAATTATTTATCTTGCTATTTAGAGGTTGGTAGCCAATTGAATTTTTGTTTCATTTCTCAGATTTTCCCATGTACCTGTAAAATGTGCGTGTATAAACATTGTTGTACATTGTAAATAGAAGAAATCTGTATTCAATATGTACTTAAACTTGTTCTTAATGTGAAACTTTTGTGTGTAATGCATTCTGAGTATTACAATAATGATGGCCTTTAATGTATTTTTGCATGTTTTGTCTCAATCTCTGATGGTTCAGGAATATTTATTCTTCTGTTCCTTTACATATATTGTATATAGCTTCCTCACTGAAAAGTATTTTGCTCTTTTTTTTTCCTGTCCTGCTGGGAATGGAATGGATGTGATGTATTTGGCATCCAATGTTGGAACAATGTGACCAATATCAGGGGGTAAGTGCCTGCCGATTAACATTTTTTTTTCAGGTTTGTTTGTGTTCAGGGAATCCTGACGCATGTATTTTAACCACTTTGGAAAATCATATGACATGTAATTCAACTCGTCTTGTAACCTACTTTAAACATGAGTAAATATATTCATCCTTGGTAAATACAGTGGAAGCCGCTTAAGCCTGACACGCCTGTGGCAGTTTTGTCCGGTTTAAGCGCCGTCCTAAGTTAACCAAAGTTCTCTACCTGCCCAGGTGATTGACAGCCTGAACGTGCTTGTGAATGGATGGGCACCCATTACTCCAGCTGTCAATCAGTCACGATTCCCTCCTTTGTTTCTTCCCTGTTCCTCCGCCCCTTACTGATTGACAGTCCGAAACCGCTTGTGAATGACTGGAGTTCGCTGTCAAATCAATCGCAATTTGACTCTTCCCGTCTCCATCCATTTTTATTCATATATTGATAGTAAGAAATAAAAATTCAAACTGTTTTAGATTGTTTTATATTGTTGGTGTTGCCTAGCTTTTCAATACAAATATCCTCAAACTTTATTTCTACCAACTTTTTCAATGTTTGGCACTTGCTGGCAAAGCCAGGGCTGTTTTTGAGAACATCAGCAGCTGCACACAAAGCTGAAACCAATCATGCCCTCTTCTGTCCCATAAAAGGGCTTCTCCAGCCAATGATTCTGTTTTGATGCAGGGTCTTCCCCGAAGTCCTTATTATTTTTAGATTTAAGAGAAACATGGTTTACATTGTTTTGCCCTTTCTGTTGTGACTCGACAGAATTTAGTTATTTAAAATAAACCTTAACACTTTTTACTCGAATTTAAGTAAAAAGGGTGTTAGCTGTAAAAAAATAACTTTTTTTAAAAATCACCTTCTGCGTGATGGCACAGCAAACCAGCTCCACCTCAGTAGCTGACGAAATACATAGTTGTGACTGATGTGCGAAAGATTATTGGTTCCTATAGCTTCTGCAAGGATAATCCTGGTCTTTCAATTAATCTGCAAATAATAGATAAAAGAGAATCTACATTAAGAGTAGGAGAACCTCATGTTGAGAGGAATTAAGTTCAGCAAGTGTCTGTCTTGGTCTTTGATGTATTCTTTCAGTGATCAGCTTTGGAGTCGTGTCACGCAATGCGAATGACCATTCTAATGCTATTTTTACTGTATAGATGAACTGTGATATTGAAGATGCTTAAATTCTTGTGTATACCAGTGATTTCAGTCATTAAGTTCTGCTTCAGAGAATGCACTTTCCTAATTATTTCAGAATAATGTCACAATTTGATGAGAAACAAAATGACTTGTGCTCTCGTGCTTGTTTCTTGATTGACAAAGTGATGGTACTGGCACTCTGACCCCATATAAGAGTCAGAGTATGCAATCTTTTTCTTAATACTTAAGATGCTATCGACAGACGCACCCAACTAGTTATGATTTTTTTTCTGTTTATCTTTTTTTTAAAAAAAATCTTTTTTCTTTTCATCCTGTGATCTCGCCTAGTGCCAATCAATGATTGACCTGGTTGTGCAGAATATATGATGTGACAATGTCTTTCTTCAATATCTTGACTTGGTCATTAGGTGTAAGGCTGTTTTTTCCCCAAACTACGTGATGGAAGCTGAAAAAAAGATAAATGTTTTTTGAAGTTTAGGTTTAGGAGAAAGAATTAGAATGTTCTTTTTTAAAAAGTCTAAATAAAATTAAGATATTGAAAAGGACTTTTGTAGTGAAGACACAAATTTATTTTGTAGTGCAACACAAATTTCTATACCCTGGAAGGTCATAGTCCAATACCCAGTCTTGTCTTGTCTAAGTTAGCAATCTCATTTGAGACAGTAGTTGAGACACTAGTTTGCCTTCACAGGTTACAGAAGAAAAAATCAACAAAGGTTCCCATTCCTTCTCAGTCTCCAATGATCATTGCTAAAAGGCAAACATGAAAAACAAATTGGGTTTAGAATGATGTCTGTCGTCCAAGCACTGCGTTTTTCAGAAGTTTAAATTTTTTATATGCACTGTACTGAAAACAAAGTGTGTTCTGACTAATAACTTGTTTTTCCTTTTATTTCCTGAATGCACATCTTCTGGAAACTTGTGAATTATGGCCAATTTCTCCAATGTTCAAAAAATACCTTTTTTTGATACTGCTTGACAAAAGTTTGTAAGTATAATCCACATTTGCTAATTAGAAAAATATTCATGAAGTGAGTTTATTTGAACTTTTTGCTTTAAGAAACAAATGGTTTGTTGAATCTTTTTACATAAAATGTTGCTGTATACTGAACGTCCTCAGATTATTATCTAAAATAGCATTGTGCTAATGAAAACTGGGTTTGTTTTCTGTCAGAGAACATAAGAAATGCTAGACGCAAAAAAACCAAGGTCCATCTAGTTCGCCTTCCACCTTCCTGGCGGTCTGGCTTGCACAGAATGCGATCTGTGAACCGAGTAGTCGAATCCCCTAATATCAACTTGTCTGCTACTCTTTCTCTTCCCTCCTTCCTTGGCAGGCTGCTGGATTGCCTCAGTGCACCACACTCTCTTGCCTGTCTCAGCCATCACTTGGGTTTCCATATCATCTCTCTCCAGAGGAGAAAAACTGTTGGAGAGCACCAGGGATGTCCGTTCCTGCTCCATTAGCCGACCACGACTTCTGGCCCCTTTCCTAACAGAGACCCAATCCTTTCCTCTAGGTACCGGGGACTCCTCTACTGTGCCCCCAGCAAGGTCTTCTCTAATACATCATTCATAAACTCTTCTCCCTCCCTAATACTTTGGTGCATAGCCAGTCGCTTGCTAAGGCTGATCACTTCAGCCTTGAGTGAGTCTACTAGCTTTCAGTTAATGCAGATGAATCCATTCAAAATTTGGCCTGGAAGGCAAACATCTCACAATTTCTGCAACACCTGCACCGCCTTCCCCCTCACCAAATTCCTTAACAGAATTCTCACTCTGTTCCACCTCACTCAGTTCCTTCCTCACTCTGCTGGGCTCTGCTCAAGTGAGGCTTTTGTAATTCTCCCCTTTATGTAGAAGATAATGGTTTTCACACTTGGAGATCCCAAAGCTTTAATCATTGATTCTGTAACTCATTCTACCAGACAAGGCAGACCTTCTGCCCTGGGAAGTCTGCAAAAACTGGTACCCAGTTAGCCTAAATCTGAAGACTTGGCTGTTAAGAAACTAAACAGAAGATGTGGTTTGCTACCCTTAGATCATTCGTACTGAATCAGCCTCTTTTGCAAAGACATACAATCCACATGGAGTTGGGCAAAACTCATTGATGAACTCAGTTTAAGATATACTTGTTCATAAATTATAATATAATGGAAAGGTTTGATATGATTAGATGATAGTGCTTCCCTCCAATTGAAGAATACATACTCTAGATTTCCCTCCTGAATATTGAACTGTGGATACTTTGACCTCTAATGCCATTTTCGGAGTCCTGTAGCTCAGTGGTTAGAGCACTCGCTTTGCAAGCGAGAGACCTGAGTTCAATTCCAGGCAGATCAGGGCGAAACCTTGGGCAAGTTTCCTTACTCCACACGCCTAATAATAATCCCTCCAAAAACCAAAAACAATAATAAATTGGTCATTTTCAATCTACGACTGTTTGTGGGACATTGCTGTGCGCAATTGGCTGCCGCGTTCGCCAACAAATATACAGTCAATTCACTTTACAGTGTCTTCTGTGAGGCGCTTTGGGACGTCCTCCCGACGTGAAAAGTGCTATATCAAAATGCAAGGATTATTATTATTATTTTCGGACTAGCCAATAGGGGGCATGTGAATGGCTCAGGGGGCTCTTGTGGTTTTCTCTTTCCTCTGGGGGAAGTTCCAAAAACATTCAAGTGTGCAAGAGAAAGTGTTTATGGCTATGATGGTCAGATACATGTATAATATGTATTCATATATAAGTGTGCAAATGAATCCTAAAACTATCTTATACTCTTTCAGTAATGTCTTTGCCACATGCATCAACAACCAAACTCAACACCTTAGGGTAAAACTGTATAAATCGCTGTCCAAAACACAGCTCGTATTGTATATTTAGATTAGCGGGAGACAATTAGAAAATATGTTCAATTATGATGTGATGGTAATAATAATGTCTCGTGAAAATAAATCGCCTGGTAGTGGATGTTTCTTCTCATGGGTGTCTAACGAGTCCCTCGCAATTACCTTGATTTTCTTTCATTCACTAAAATCATTTTTTTNACATAAATATTACGCTGTAGTTGTGACATTCACACTGGCTGGGAGTATAACTGGGGCCCTGTTCCTAGCAGCCGATGGGTCGCAGTAAACATAATCAATCATCAGCCCTGACAGGCACTTACACCTTGGCTTCATTTGAGGCACGCTTGGTTTGTTGTTTTGTAATTAGCTTGGCCGAATGTGCAGGAAATGTCGTATGTACACTCCCTATGCAGCTGGCAAATTCAGGGAAATATCCAGAATGAAACAGACGGCGCACTACAAACACATGGGCTCCAGGGAAAAGATAACCTGATCAGCTGGTAATAGGCAGGCACGTTTCATAGGGTTATCAGCAACAGTGCGCTTTGGTAAATGTTAGCCTTTATTTTAAAATAATGATTATATATTATTGTACAATAGCAAAAAGTTTTCAGAATGCTGCTTTTAAAAAGTTTATAAATTCCTTTGTTACAGTAGAAGTTTTAATTCCTGCTTTTATTCAGTCTTGTGCATTAGTAGTTTTTTTTAACAAAAAACTCGGCCTTTAATTTGTTTGAATTTGAATAATTTGTACTTTGGTGCAGTTTTTGACGTATTTTCTATTGCGTTTTGCAACTGTATTACAGCAAAATACAGTTATTAGTGAATGCTTATGACGCAAATAAGGTGTAAATTATGTGACTGGAATATCATCTCTAAATTGGTGCAAATTGATATTTGAATCTCCATTAATGTTAATTCAAGGGAAAAAAATCTATAAATCTCATTCAGATATAAAAAGTGCAAAGAAAGTGAATACTGCGGTAATTTTAAGCTGGTGCTATGTGAATCATAGAATTATACAGCACAGAAGGAGGTCATTCAGCCCATCGTGTCTGTACTGGCTCTTTGAAAAGAGCTTCCCAAATCAATCCCATTCTCCCCGCATTCTCCCCATAGCCCTGCACACCCGCCAGTGGAAACAGAAAATAAAATGTAAGAAAAGGCCACAATCATCCACACAACATTGCAGAGTACGAGGGAGGCTGTTTTCTGTTTGATTTGCTGCCACAATCTGGACTAGTTTTCAGAAAAACACGTTTAGTGTAAATACCACAAGTGTAAAATATAGTACAAATTGGATCAAAAATGCAGAAAAACTAAAACTTGTGTGAAAAAGTGGTTACTGTTTTGGTGAAGCAGAGGAATACACAGTGTCCATCCACAACGTGTTTCTGTGTGGCACAGAAATACTTGTGTTTATTTATTAAATTATTTAGGCATGAATGATCTGTCGCAGGAGTGTAGATGAAATGCAAAATTAATGAAAGAGAAAAGTTAGTTCTGCATCTCCGTTATTGCCTCACAGTATTGGAAGGATATATCGGTGTTGGAATCAGAGATTTGAAATTAAGTTGGCTGGTTTAGCAATACACTATACTGTAAAAATAGTCTTGAATTTGTGGATCTCCATGGGAGAGGAAATGATTTGCTAAATTGAACATGCTCAAAGTACCAGGGTAGCGAGCTACAAAGTTACTAGTAATGGAAGTTTTCCCCGCGGCTTTCCATCTTTTATAACTGTTAGAGTCCTGGTAGGTTTATTCAAATACTCGTTTGGGTCTCTGCATGTTTTTAGTTCATGCACTCTGATGCTATAATTAATTTAATGTAATATTAGCACCGAGTCACTAAAATAAATGCTATTTAAATAAACATTCTAAGAACGATGCCTCTATTTGCTTTTTTTGTCCCTGTTCCCTTTTTTTTCTTTTAACCTCATTCTAACATTTTGAAAACGTTTCTCACATGCGAGAGAGAATGTTTGCAAGGCCGTTAATTCAAGTGAACTTGAGTAAGAGTGGGTGGTGGTCTTTGATTTCTTTCTACAATACATGTGGAGAATACTGTAGTAATGGAAGTACTCACTGTAGGCTTCACTTCTCTTTATTAGGTAGTGTTTTTCACACCATTACCAAGAAATACAAACACTGCAATTCTTATTCTATCAACCAATGGTAATAGCGTAGTGCCTCAAAAGTTGAACTGTTCCAGCTATTTTCAAATTTCACTTTCATCTCTGATGCTAAGAACAACACAAATAAGCATGCAGTAACACTTGTTGAACGCTTGTGTTGTGTAGACTATACTGTAATTATATTATTAGTTACAAGTTTGTTGGTATTCTAACATGAAGTTATTTGTTTTTATAGACTGCATTACATTGGGCAGCTAAACATGGCAAAGAGGACATGGCGCTCCTGTTAATAATGGCTGGTGTCGATATCAACAGCAGAGCAGTGAGTTGCCTCTTTCTCTGTTCAATCTTTTAAAATACAGTATAACTAAAATACCTTTAGGTAATTCTTCCGCCTTCCAAATAATATGCTACTCAGCCAAATGTGTTAGCAAGAATCTTTTGTCCGATATTTTTCTTTCTAAGCTTTCTTGTTTTCTAAGATTTACATCCATCTTTAGTAGCTATTCAACAGACAGTCTTGTGTCCTTTGGTATGCTGTGGCTCCCATGACTTTCAGATTATAGTGTGAAACCCATTTACAGTATTATATGAATTCATTTTTACACGTTTATTAGAAAACTTTGCACTTTAGTTCTCTCCTATACGACTGTTTGTAGGACACTGCTGTGAGTAATTGGCTGCTGCGTTTCACCCACAAAATATACAGTCAATTCACTTTTCAGTATATTCTGTGAAGCACTTTAAGAGGTCCCGAAGATGTGATAAGGCGCTATATCCAATGCAAGGATTATTATTATGTGCTCAACCACATTAGCCTTCCATATGCTGCCTTCCTCTGCTGTGCAAACTCTAGTTAATCTGTGAAAACTCAAAACATTAGTTTACTTTCTTTTAAACCTGCAAAGCATCCGTTTTTATTGTTAGTCTTGCCAAAAAGTGAGTGTCATCATAAAGTGTCATTTGCAAATGTTGCAGTATTTTTAATGGTGAATGTTTTTAAATTCATCACTACTTTTTTAAAAAAGGGTAATTAAGAATAGGATGTGAAGTATATTTTCTATGTTATTAGATGTGTGACCAGTTTGTTCTCTTGCCCAAGATGTGATGCAATATTGACAACCTGGTCAAGTGTACAGCTATGTTCAAACAAAACCACATTAGCCTTTTGTTTCTAATTTACCAGTTGCATTCAGTTGTCAGAATCCATGGAAGCACAATACTCAATCTATAGATTTATGTACAGAAAGCCACAATTTACAGATGTTTTATGAGCCAGAACAGTGGAATTATGCGAGATCGAAACAAAGCTGTTATGTTTTTCATTCCGTTTCAAGTAGTTTGAAAGTTTAACCAACTAATTCTTTCTATTCCTGATTTGTAAGACTCAAATAAAGAAATGATTTACAAGCTTTCCTGTTGCAAGCCTTGACTGTTACACAAAAAAATAAAATCTGATCGTGGAGATTGGCATGAAGTTGTTCCTATCTAAATTGTTTTTATTCAAAAATTAGTTGAATTATATTAAATCATATCCAATTCTGCAATTTTACATTTAATATTTGGCTGTGAATCAGCTCACCAGTACATTTTGTTTTTACAACCACTGTTTCTGGCAAGGTAAAAATGGTAAATAATAGTTAGGCATTTATTAATACAAATGAGGATTGATGCTAATCATTAATCACTATTCTTTATTAGAATATTGTTTGATCATTCCCAGTTCAACCCCTACAGTAACTAATTCTTACTGGTTCTTAATCTTACAATCTGCTATTAAAGCTAGATGTTTGTGACCAGGACACCAGAGAGCCAAGAGCACATCTCAATTGGGAAATATAAACACAGCAACATCCCACATCTGAAGTCTTCATTTCTTGCTTCTCTTTCCCCTATGGGAAAAAGCAGTGTACTTTGACCTTTAAAGGTTTCACTCTGAAGCACTCTACGTATTTTTCATTAGAATCGCACACCTACTTTGTTTTAGTACAATTACATAATTTTTACTTAAACTGTACATAATGGAAATGAATTACATATGTGCAGAATTGCAGAAGGCAAATTAAGGAAATGAATATTGCTTTGGCCACATACAATCAACCATGAGCATCAAGAGCCAAGTACCGATCAGGCTTGTATGGAGTATGGAGATCATTGAGATGGAGCAGAGACAGCTGAACAGAACTCATCATACACTTAAGATGTTTATTCCATTCTTTTAGTTTGTGGTATTGCATAATGTTGCAATGAATTAAAAAAACTGATTTTTTTTCCCTCTTTCTTTGCTCCCTGCTAATCGATGGATAAATGCAGCATGTAAGTCAAATCAAACAAACTTCTTATTTATTTGCATGAATCACAGATTTTGTTGTTAAATTTAGATTGTGATTATGATTTTATTTCTTATATTTCGCAGAGCACACTATCATTGACAACTGTGGGTCCTCAAAGTGCTTTTTTAATTGGTAGAAATAATAGCCGGTACTAAGTTCCTTATGTTTCAATCTAGTAATAGGAACGTAAATGTTTGAAAGTGGGAACCAAGAACTAATGAATGACAAATTAAACAACAAATCTTACAATTGGCTACATATTCAGTAAATGACATTTAAAACCAACAATAGTACGGGGTCAATCTCTGACCTATATTAACGTTTGAGTTGGCTAATGTTCACTCTCAACCTTTGCTGAGTGGCTGAGCCTCTCAGTCTTGACTTGGTCTCTGAGAGAAGGGAAGTTTTGACTTGGAAGATCCTCTTCCATAGTTCTTAGAAGTAACTTATGGTGTGTCACAGAGCTGTTTTCCAGCTGCACTTGTTGCCTTTCTTCTCTCCACCGCCAAAGTACAAAGAGAAGAGATTACTCCCAAATTGTTAAAACGTACCATGATTTCAATCAAATTTAAATACGATGGTGTCAATCTAGTTTTAATTGAAGCCACAATTATTGATTTCGATCTGCAGTTGGCCAGTGGGATTGAGTGAGAATAATAGTGGTCAAGCCTACTTTAACACTGCTGCCTGGGTAGAAGTGGACATTTTCTGCACCCCCTTTAACTACACTTCTCCCTGTTGGGTGATGTTGTATAGGCATTAGGATGTTACGGGCATTAGAGCAAGTTGCACAAAATATTTCTAATGATGATCCTGAAAATCTTAAAATGTGGTGGGGTGGGGGGGAAGCAGGAATGAGGCTCAAAATGGAACAATGTTTTTCAAAAGTGTTAAATGAAATTGTTTAAAGAGCAATTGTTTGATTCAACTTTTTTTATTTCCCTCCCCACTTGTGATGATCGTTTTGTCTTTCGCTTCTGTTGTAGGGAGTGAGTATCGCATGACTTTTTGTCATTTTTTTTGCTTCTTTATTTGATAATTGACTTTATTTTGCTTTTCATCGCATATCACTGCAATATTAAGGGTGTAAAGTATGTTAAGAAAATATTTGCTTTTTGTTTATAAAATGTATTGTGCTTTGTACTATAGTGTAGTGTTGTCCAATAGAAATCGCTGAATAACCACAAGTGTGATTGCTGCGACACCGTTTTACCCACACACACTAATTTTAGTAGAACGCACCTTTTGACACTCGCACGATACAGGTATTTCACATGTATGTTTCAATGTATATTCACTTAACAAACATCTACCACCATTCAGTGCAAAATTTTCCATTCTTTTTCACCAAAGTTTGGAATTCTGGCATGGATTTATCAGACTCCGTGCATCTTACTACAGCTTCTAGCTTTGTGTCTCAGTCATGGTGTCATGGCAAAGGGCAAGCAGCTTCCCCCAGTGTTATGGATGCAGAGTAGGGGCGTGTCTTCTCTTTATTTTTCTTTCACAAGGTTTTCACCCGTGTTTCACACCAATCAGCAGTAACCAAGGAAGTAAAGCAATCACAATGATCAAAAAAAACACACACACTGCTTTTCGTCTTACCATTTTACCAACAACCATACAAAAAGATCAAAGTATGCACCATCGTGCGAGAAGGAGAATTGAGATCACATGCCCAATGGCGGGGTCTATTTCTCATTTTTTATTTACTAATCAAAAATGCAATTTAGCCACATCTGGATTCCCAATTTTCCACATGTGGCTCGTAGCTAACCTATTGGACAACTCCGCTATAGTGTGGAGGATAAATTATTGTTTGAATGTTCTAATTTTGCATCTAATGTTACAACTGGGATTAATTGCAAGTTTTCTATAAACCTGAAAGGGACTCAATGGGGGGAAAAAGGTTTTTGTTCAAACGCTAGTTTTCAGAATGGAGCATAAACTGTTTTTTCCCAAGCAAACGTTCCAATGCAATTAATGTTGAAACGTGGTGTGGCTGGCAAACCTTTTCTTGTTTATTTACAAGCACTTTCAAACACAGGATGTTTTCTGTAGCAGCAAAATTAAAACTTGCCTCATTTGTATTGAAGATCTTTGAGAAACCAGTTCTATGTGACTTGATATTTTGATTACAGTGCTAAATTAAGAATTAAATCATACAATAAATTACCTTTTATTCATCTGATTTCAAGGGCAATATTCCCCCCTTTCATGATTTGATATCTAGTGAAAGTGCTTGTCATCTAGTAGTCAGCTAAATAAAAGGTATCCTATTTGTCTTTAAAAAAAAAGTCATTTGGTACATTACTGTCATGGCATTAGCAAATAGAAGTAAAAATAATTATTTATTTTCTCAGGGTTACACACCACTACATATAGCAGCCCTTCATTCCCATACACACATCATGGACATTTTAATCAATAACTATGGTAAGTTTCTGATTTGCACATTTAGTATCACATCTTGTTGATGTGAATGTTTCACAATGTACTGAAAATGTTACCTTTTGTCCCCATGATATGAGATTAAGATTGTATTATTATAATTCTTGTAATAAGGCTGAAATTAATATTCAGAAGATATTAACAAACTTAATTAAGAATTTTGAATTGAAATTTTGCATTATCACTGTTTGTTTCCCACTACAGGTGCTGAGCTTTGCTGCGCAGCCTGGCATGTGTGATGTGATAGGAATTTTATTGCAATTATGTAGCACTGCTGATGTCTACATAAACCCTATTTTCTAAACGTACAGTACTTTATAAATAAATTGTTGAAGATTCCTCCATAATTAGAAGGTAAATTGTTGGCACTTTTGCAGTTTGATGCCACCTGAACTTTTTCATTATGATGGTGATTCCTAGCAGTGATTCTGTATGTAATTCCAGGTGCTGTCAAAGGATCACATTCAGCTGAGTGCAAACTTGCTCTAATTCCAATCTTTAAGTCCGTGTACATTGTGTTAGCATCAGGACACTGCTTACTGTCACTTTATCTTCATTGTTTCTAAAAAAAAGTTTGTATCTTATTTGCATCGCTACCAATTTATCTGCTAATGCCAGCGATGGGTGATGGAGCAGTGGTTTGATCTCCCTCCTCCATCAGGACGTAATGATCTGAGGACAAGACTCATTGCTGCAACAGGTGCACACAACAGTAGCTCCCCCATTTAACCTATTGAACTGTACGTAGACTCAATAGTGAATGATTTGATTTACCAAGTAGTACTCATAGTATATGTGATGGATTGTCTTTTAGCTACTTAGATTTTAGCCTACTTTAAGTACTTTGTTTGGAATCTGAATGTTACTTTCATGATTTGCACCATCTAAATTCTTCTATTTTAATTCAGTGAGAGGTATTCATTGCCTTCCATGTATTATCTGTTGTATTATGCCCATATTAGTAAAACATAACTATGTACATCAATATCTTTGCCAAGGAGCCAAATTATTTGTATGGACAATATCTTGGTGGGGAGGAATCCCCTTTATTTGCCTTTCCCTGTTTTAACCTCTTTTCTGGATCCCTCTCACTTTTTACATTTTCTTCTTGCCCATCTGTCCTCAAGTTGAGGGATGATCCTACTGGTCCATTTTCAGCTTTGAACTCAGACCTCCTCCAGTACTCCTGGGTTAGGTATGGATTAGGCCTAGTTTAAGGCAGAGCTCAACTTAGTTGCCTTGTTGTTGTACTGGATCAGAAGCCTATACTGAACCAGTGTGACTAGCACATTTAACATACTGCCTTTGTCTTTCTGTTTCTAAATTTAAAACCATTTTCGTGGCCTTGATTTTGTAAGAGACAGCAGGGAGGAGGGACGGTGGGGAGAAAATACTGTAGAAGGATGCACATAGTGCTAGTTGAACCAGTTCAGGAAATATAAAGAGGTGAAAAAAGTATTGAAGAGAAAGCTATTCACTCAACTGCACTTCCTATATACTGTGGTACTGTACTTTTATTAATGGTTTAAAATTATTTCCAGCAAAGTAATTAAATAAGTTTTCTTTTGTAGTTTTATTACATATTAAGTACTAGGTTCCAGCCAGCTGTTGCTTAACATGAAATTTTTTCCTTCATCCATTAACACTAAATTGTGTCAGTGAAACTAATGAATACTTCATCGCTGTAGCTTTTGCGAATTGTTTTGTAAATGCATTGTCTAATATTGCCTTTTCCTGAACAGGTGCCAAAACAAATGTGAGAGACTATAGTGGACGATTTGCAGCTCACTATCTGAAAGACCAGGATGGGTCTAGTGGTTCCTCAAACATCTCTTCCCGTAAGTTCTTTACCACTAATAATGGCTGAATCTTATTGCAGGTATTCAAATTAGTGGATATTTTATTCAAGTTTAATTTTCTTCTAAAGTGCGTTGTCACTGATGTGATCAATTAAGGTGACGGGGCTTTGCGGTATGGCACCTGATTCAAACTATTTTGATCACATTCAGTTTAGTCATTCACTAATTCCACTGGTAGGTCGGTTGGTAATCTGAGGACACAGATTTAAAATAGTTGTTAAAAGAAACGGGAGGTGAGGAGAAATTTTTTCACACAGCGAGTTGTTCGGATCTGCATTGCCTGAAAGGGTGGTAGAAGCCGACTCGATAACAGCTTTTAAGAGAGAAATAGACAATTATTTGGGGCAGACAAGTTTGCAGGGCTATGGGGAGAGAGCGGGATTGATTTGGATAGCTCTTTTCAAGAGTGTGTGAGGAATTCAGCCCCTGAATGTTCTGGCAGGTTGGTGGTTATGCCTTGGTATGTTCTCCCGATATAATAGGTGCTATATAAATGCATTTTTTTGGTGTTATCCAGCAATTTTTCTTTTTACCGCATTCAGCACTAGCAATAATAGGATTGCTTTCTGAAACATATGGGTATGATATTTACAAAGCATTCAATAACATTTTATTCTTGAACCCACAACCTTCTGACTCCTAGGCTTGAGTGCTACCACTCCGCCAGGCTGACATACACTATATTAGCAAGTATAATACAAAGCTGACACCTGCTAATTCGAGGTAATGTTGCATAGAATTGCTAATCACATTTACACAGCTTGTTTACACGTTCTATGTTATATGCACTATATGTTACAATAGCATAATTGGTAGTTTGTAAAATGTTGTGACATTTAATGAAAGTTTTTTATTGTTGCTCATTAGTTATATACTATAATTGAAAGGTTCATTGGCATCTGTTTAAGAAGCAATGTTTTGCAACACACATGGGATATCTAAGCTGATCTGCTGTGCCAATCAATACTCACAAAATTACCATTCTGTGCATTTTAATTCTGCTGGTCCCTTTTCAGTTTTGCTGTCATTAATGTTGTCTGCTGTTCAGGTATTAAAGCAAGCTAATAATAATAGTAATAATTATTGATCACCAGTATAACCCAACATGGTGGTGTGCTCACTCGTGAATTCCATTAGAACGAGTCCATGCTTTGCTGCCAGTAAAGAATGTGATGACAGATGGAGGTGCATGTTACCTTTAAAAGTTTACATTTTAAATTATGCTAACTGAAATTCTTGAATTTGCTTTTCTAATCAGGTACTGAACTTTTGCTGCTAGGTAACGCCTCTTTTCTCATTTGTATTCATTGCTTTCATTGTGGAGCATGATGTTTTCGATAAATCTTAAGTCTAAAATGCTCAATTGCAGGTAATGGCAGCGTTTAGTGTAGAAAGTCACAGGTCCTGACTGGGATGAAATACTGAAGAGTGAACAACACCCATATAGACTCCAGCAAAGAATCAGGAGGGAATAAATTTGGCCACAAAAATTGGATGTCTACTTTTTGGAGATAAATATTAACACTGTAGTAGTTAACCAATTGATTTTGCCAATTATGCAAAAACAATTGTTTGATTCTACCATTTAGACCTTTAATATTTGATGTTAAAAGGCCTTTGAACAACAATCATCTGCACACAACAAGCATTTATTTATCCTCTGGTTACCACTCACAAAACTTATATAAATAGTTTTCATACCTTTTCTTGTGTTGGGGGTAAAAACTACATCACCTTATTTTTAGTGTATTTGTTGTGTGTGTACATTACAAAACTTAGATTTAATTAAAATTAGCGTTCTACCTTTGTTCTCTGTTTCATTGTTTAAATGATGTAACATCCCAGTCTCACTTTTCAGAATTCCAGCAGTCTCGGGGAGAACGACGAAATCGAAAACTGACTGGCCTCTTTATGACAAAGAGTTGTGGAAGCAGTAAGAAGTGGGGTTCAGCAGAGAACTTGGCAACCGCTGAAATGGAAACCTCCCAATATTTGATCGTGCCAAGTACATACAAAGCTACGCGCAAGTTCTCCCGATAAACTAGCCCTGCTGGCTTCGTTCTGTGTGATATCGTGACCAATCCCATTTACAAGATGTCAGTTTGGGATCTTGAATATTAGTAATGAGAACTTAACCAGTAAGACAACATGTCATAGCAACTGAATTATTTAGAGCCCAGTTTTGCCATTGTGTACAGCGATTTCCTAAAGTGCAGAATTCCTTTACGTGCATTTTGTCTTCTTCCCCCTCCATCCATCAAAAGTCAGGTGCAAGAAGTGGGTTGAGTTGAGGTGAGCATTTGTACAGTCCATTTTTGCCCTTTTCTTATCCAGCCAAACCCACAGTGTACAGCTGCTTAAGATATGCTGACTGAAAGCACCTTCTATTTAAAACTGTTCCAACAAAGAGGCGAGGTTCTTTAAAATTTCAAGCTGATTGGTCTCTTGGTTTTAGATTTTAAACATTTCTTGTGAGGACGACCAAGTATTTGAAAAGCAGAGGGCTAAGGGAAGACGATTGGAAAGGGAAAATAAAATACAGGTGAGCATCTTAGTAAAGATACAGTGAAATTGGCTTCATTCCCCATCATGGATCGTTGTCTGGCCTGAATGATACCTGAAGACAGGAACTTCAAAAGTGCAACATGTCTTCTATCCAATTCTGGTACTATGGATAGGTTAGTTTGTAATTTTCTTAGTCTGATTGTTTTTTGCCAAATAGTTTAATGAATGAACATTAGCAATTGACCTCAAAGCCTCTCTCACAAGATGGTAAACTTAGGGATAGCAGGATACCCTTGCGTTTTAAATTAAACGATCAGGCTAGGTGAAAACAAACTTGTTTGATCAGGTACTCGGGTGTCAAATTCCCCATGTTCTGCTTCTCAACAGACACCAAATGCTGACTGAAGTGGCTTTGTCCACAATAAGAAGAGACAGCACAGCAGCTATGTTTCAGGGCTGCTCAGCTTGATAATATTAGAAGTTTTTTTTTAAATTCTGGTTAATGTTCAAGAGTCCAGAAACCCTGCAGTGACTAACAGGTAGTGATGACAAGTCACACTTGAAATGTTCTGCCTAATAAAAGTACATTTTAAAAAATGCAAATTAACATATCAGCTTGCCCTCTGTAGTCTATACTGAACAATATGAGAATGTGGGAAGTGATTCAAACCTGCTATGGCATTGGAAAGAAAACTCAACTGCCATTAAACTTGGTTAGCAAACTTAAAATCGTACCTGCGAGACAGTTGATGACTCAGTGGAACTTGGAGATTGCTCTGCTTCAGCAGCAAACTTCCCTTGGCAGGGGACAAGTTGGCAATCCAGGATTTACATTTCTTCCAATTTCTATTCCCTGTGTGAAAATGGTATTGAAAAGAGAAATATAAACTCTAGGCAGCTCTTACACACCTTCCAGTGACCAGATTGGAATATTGAGAAAAAGGTTTTAATCCGCTACATGCGGAGTCCTGCAGCTCAGTAGTTAAAGCATTTACCTCGCAAGCGAGAGACTGGGTTCGATTCCCAGCAGGGCGAAATGTTGGGCAAGTTCCCGTACTCCACACTCCGGTTTACCTAGCAGAAAGTAGGAACCCGGTTGTTAGGCGATTGGCAGATCGCTTTTCTGGGGGTAAACCTTTAAAAAAATTGGTCACTCAATCCATGACTGTTTGGGGGACCCTGATGTGCGCAAGTGGCTGCCACATTCTCGCCTACGAAATAGTCAATTCACTTTCAAGTATATTCTGTGAAGTGCTTTAAGATGTCTCGAAGACTTGATAAGGTGTTATATCAAATGCAAGCATTATTTATTATTACTTTCGGAATTACATTGACTACTCTGAAGAGTAGCATCTACATGAGCAACAAACAGGAAAAGCAGAGATGACCAAAAGCAAATGTGTTGTATTTTTAAAAGGGTTTTGAAAGTGGGAAGTGAAAAACCACAGACTGCTTATTTCAAGTATAAATGTCAAAATACATTTGCTGCACCATATCTACTGGCTCAGATTTGGCAGAACAAAAGCTTCATAATTCCACATTTTCCCAGAGGTTTTCATTTACAGAAAATACAAGAAAGTGTCAATAGATAAAAGGGGTCCTTTGTATCATAGATTTAAACAGGTTTCAGAAATTAAGAACATCTGCCATGTTTGAAAATGCAACATTGTATGGCTTAATAGGGAAGTGGACAGGTACATGAAAAAAAAGGCTTGAAAGGTTATGGAGTCCTATAGCTTAATAGTTAGAGCATTCACCTCGCAGACAAGAGGACTTGGGTTTTATTCCCAGGCAGGATGAAACGTTAGACAAGTTTCCTTACTCCACAAGCCTCTGTTCACCTAGCAGTAAATAGGAACCCAGTTGTTAGTTGATTGGTGAATTCCAGGGTTAATAATCCCTTAAAAAAAAGTGGTCACTCAATCCATGACAGTTTGTGGGACACTGCTGTGTGCAATTGGCTGCTGAGTTTCACCCACAAAATATACAGTCAATTCACTTTACAGTATATTTTGTGAATGCCTTTGAGGAGTCTCGAAGAAGTGATGAGGGCTATATATTTTTGGTGGGGTCAGCTGGCTGTCTTAACACATGCGGAAACCCATCACTATGCTTAAGAGTATCCAAACCAAGTTGAGATTTCCATTTATCCTACCTACACATCCTACATATAGAAATCCCAGAGATATATTGTTGGAATGGAATGCATACTCTCTCTGGAGGGATGCTATATCAAATGCAAGGAGTATTATTATTATTATGAGGATGGGGTGGGGCAGTGGGATTCAATGGACAGTTTACTTAGAAAGGTGGTGCAGTCTGGGTTGAATGGCCTCTTCCTGTATTTTAATTTTCTATGATTCTAATCCTTGTGTAATATTTCTAAAAGTATGCTTACAGTGTAGTAGGAAGCAGTCCATCTAATCTATCCCTTTGGAGATCTTGAAGAAAACTGGGAATGCCAGAATTGAGAAGCACAGGGAATTTTAGTAATGCATAGCAGAATCTGAAAAGGGAAAATGACAAATCATACCAAGTTAATTACACAGAAAATGATACACTACTTAGTTAGAAAGCCTTATGAGCTGTCCTAAAGAAAGTTCTGCTGAGATCCTCCTGGACTCCAAGTGTAATCAAGAAAAACCTCTGGAAGATTTCATCTATTCCCCACATCTCCTATTTAACACCTGTTAAGTATTTTGCTCATCTCAGTCTGTGCCTGTCACAAATTTCCAAATACTTTAATTACTTATTTTCATGTTCTGCACATTTAGACGCATTGTAAACAAGATCCACAAGAATCTCATGGACCAGGCTGCGCATGTTGCTAAGCTTTTTTTTAAAAAAAGAAAAGAAATGCTGAGCACCTATGGTGTTTTTGAATTTGATGAATAGAGGGAGTGTGGGAAAGTCACAGTCCTCTGGATTTTTTTTAGATTATTTTGACTGACCCATTTCTTTATGTGAATGCTTGTAAAGGGGGAATGTGATTGATTGCAATAAATGTTGAGGTGCAGGCTCCACCGGTGGCATAGTGGGCACTGTGTCAACGTCCAGAAAATAAAAGTTTATGCTGATTTAAAGTTTGAGGCAGTGGGGTGATGCTTTTGGCTAAAGCACCCTTGCAGAGTTATTTTGCTAATAGCAATGAGTGAACCCCCTGCTGGAAAGTGTGGGTGTGGACACCTCAGCTGTGATACTCCACATAGACTCTCATCCCTGCTCTCATCGAGAATGTAAGCTCACACAAAGAATGGCTCATTGGGTCAGGTACAACTTACACCCGTCAATCATATTCAAGAGTCGGCACTTTCAGGAATAAAGAAAATTAATAAAACAGTTTACTATATGAATATTTTTGCACACAGACTATGCTGCCTTGATTCCCGATTCCCTCCCCACCCACCCCCCGGCACTGATTATGTTATGGTCCAGTGTGCTTTGTTAAAAGCTTTTAAGTTAAATGTTTTTGGCCTTGGGTTGCAATATTAGACATTTGTTTATCTACCACTAATATAAATTGGAGGTGAAAGAATTTGAAAGAACAGCAAGACTATTTTTGAGTTTGTCTGTAATTCTATATTTTATGGATGAAAAGGTCAAGTGTTTTTTCTATAAAATTGTAACCAATTTCTAAACTGTCTTATTATTATACCAATAAGTTATTCTGTGGTATTAAGCATAAAGTTTTATTTACACATTAAACTATGGTATGGCTTTTTTGTTCCAACAAAATGGTGGACATTATTCTCACTTTCAATGTTTTTGCCCTTTAAAACAACTTGGGATGCAGATCTTTAGCATTGTTTATATAGCGTTCATAGACTTCATTAGGTTTCGGTTTGGATGGAATCATGACCAGGAATGATAGTAGTAAGATGAAGCAAAATGCACATTATGACAACTGACATGTGTGAATAGGACATTAACTGAGAAACCATTAAGGGATATGGGGCAAGGGCTGGTAACTGGACTTGAGGTACAGATCAGCCATGATCTTATAAAATGGCAGAACAGGCTTGAGGGGCTGAATAGCCTAGTCCTGTTTCTATGTTTCACCTCAGTATTTATCGCATTGCTCCAAAACAAAGGAATTCAACACAAGTATGATCAGTTTGCAGGCTGTAAACCACATGCTTGGAATATGTGGACAGCAAAAAATAGTTTCTTACGTCGAAGAAGACAACATGAGCAGAAGTATAGCATGGTAATGTAAAGAGTTCCACAAGCCGATTATTACAGTAACCAGAGGTTTGCCCTTTATCGCCATATTATGAGGACAGTCCTGCAATGTGGGAGTGTGATGGAATTTGGATTGAATCCCAGATTGGTCACAGACAACAGCATCTCTTTCACTTCTGCTTCTCAAGGGAACTTTGTTCATTTCTGTTCACTGTTTAAACTTTTCTCAATTCATATCTTAGTAATAAGGGCTTTACTGAAAATCAACCTAGTATAGAATAGGAAGACCATTCAGTCTTATCTTTTGCATGCTATATTGAATAATAGTATGCTATATTGAATGAAGATCTTCAGTATATACAATCTTTTTGAGCCATTAACTAAGTTTAAAAACAATATGGAATTATTTCAAAGTATATTTTCCATTTAACACTAAACAAGGTACAATGAATTGCAATATACTGGTTTCATCCAACACTAAACTCAAGTTTCTTCCAATGCAGTTATGAGTGTTATCTAGTTGGGATTGATTGTGGTGCTTAGACTGAAATTTACTTGGATGCTCGGGTCAGATGAAATAGATAAACAATAAATCTCTCAAAACAGTCAAAGGGTAATGAAGCAAACAAAATAAGGTGTTTTCACACAAATAATTGCATGTTAGTACCATTCAGTACAATGAATACTTTTAAAAACAATGAATACCTTAATTCTCACCCTTTCCCTCATACCCTAAATACCAGCATTCTTTCTCCCATCTTGAAGCCATTTGACACCAGTAGAATCTCTGGTTGCTGATCGGAAAGCAGAAACAAGCAAACTTTGCCCTCTCTATACATGTCAAGGCCAACTGTAGTTAGTCAACTACCTCCTGGTTGAGATTAGCTAATCCAGCACAGATTGGAATTTGCAGCCTTCAATCTTGCTATATAAGATTATACACTCTTGGGTCCACTCGACCTTTGGAGAAAGCTATAGAAAGTAATGAAAGAACATCTATATCATAGTCACTCACCCAGTTAGCAGTATACAGATTGGAAAGAATTCTTGGAAAGAATTGTGGTTCTCTCAGGAAGATTAATGTTACTTTTTTTTACAATTGACAGACACAAGTTACCACGGTCGATCCTTCATTCATTCTTTTCAACCTACATTCCTCAACTCCCATTGGTATCAGCAACTCTCCACTACTCCGTATACTTTGACGTATTTACACTTAAGTTATAAAGTCTAAGCATCTAACCAGTTCACTTAACCCTTACTGCATTCATTTAAATAATGCTTAAAAATTATTAGAACAACTCTTGAAAGACACTCAATGGCTGTTACTCTTATGCTGTATAAAAACATGTGTAAGAGAGCACAACATTCTAACTCACTTCAGGAACACTGCAGTACGTGTTAACAGGATTGAAGATACCAAACAACTGGTTGAGGGTTAACTAATAAGAAACGTCTTTTACACACCCTGGCAGTATTAATGGGATCAGTGGATAGCTAGCACAGTGCTTCATCCCTTTACCCCAATAATCTGACTTTACAAAGTCCCTTTGATCTACAAAGCCCAAAGTAAGTCAGTTTGAGGTGCACAGATGGAGTAAATATGGAGATTAACTGTTCTCCGTAAGGCTTTAGCCACTAATGCCTGATTAGTGTAGAAAGACCCAGTTGTTTCAGTGTCAGGTATCAGAGCTGTGCGACTCAGAAGGGGGTGAGATGAAGGCAGTTTCTGTAACAGATACTTATTTCGACCCAGTTCTCTGAAGAGATTATAGGCCCAGGGGTGGCACATTAGCCATAATCCCAAACTTCTGTGTTG